ATGTGCCCTATGATGCAAGCTTTAATTTAAAGCACCCTATTCTTCCAGGTGTTGAATATTAGAACCCTAACCCTAACCCTAATTGTAACCCTATGCATTTGCTATAGCAACTGTTCTCTGTGATAACAATAAATGCATTTTGTTGGATGTACGCTTGCTATTAGCATTCCCAGCAGTTTCCATGAAAGAGGCTTTTGTGACCTCTTCAGCGCAGGTGTGCAGGTGTGCATAAGACCTGCACACCACCATGATGGGGGGGGGGGCTCCTGTTGACCATGTCCCTTGTATGACCACCAGCTGCATGTATCCAGTCTGTCCTCCCTTGCATGTGCCTTTCTCCTCCCCCCTGATCTGTTTGGGACATGTTTTGTGGAGGACGATGGAGTGTCTTTTCAGTTAACAAACCTGTTCCTTGGCCGCAAGGGTGGCACGATCAGAGTTAATTTTAATAATTTAATAATTTTAATAAGTAATTAAAATTACTTTTAATAATTAAAATGTACTTTTTATTGTGGATAGGAGGATTTATGGGATATGATGTTTTACTGTATTTTAATGCTGTTTTATTACTGTTAGCCACTTCGATCTGTTTGGAGAGGCAGGATATAACATCATCATATCACTCTTCTGCTTTGGCCAGACCTCGCCTGGAATCCTATGTCTAGTTCAGAGCATCGCCATTAAAGAAGGATGTTGACATGTTGGAAGGTATCCAAACCAAATCCTGAAACCAAAACCTATTAGGAAAATCTGGGGGCCGGTGGATAGGTTTAGCTTGGAAAAAAGAAGGCTGAGGGGTGATATGATACCGTCATTTTCAGATATCTGAAGGTTGCCAGTAGAGATGGGCTTTCTGCTTCTCCAGAGGATAGGCTCCAAATACCAGTAAATTCAAATTACAAGGATGGAAATTCTTACTCTGTGTTAGAAGGAACCTCCCGATGGTAAGACAGCAGAGTTCCTCAGAACTTGGAGGAGTTTCTAAACAGAGGTTAGGAGGCCACCAGAGGCTGAACTACAGGACTCTTGTGATGTCTTCTAGATCTGTGAGCCTTGAATCTCATTTTGGGAGAAAGTCTGGATACAAATCCAATAAACAAACAAACAAATAAATAAGCTAGTTGAATGAAAATTTGCATTCAAACTTGCATTATTTGAGTATGTAGTCTCACAAATGCTTAGATTCTTAAATACATTTCATCTCAAAGAAGAGGAGGAGAAAGAGCAGTAGCAGGAGGAGATTTCTAAACATACATTGACTCAAATCCAACATTGTTCCATGCAGAGTAATTATTCCACTGGCAGAATTCTGATATATTTGCCTTCTCACCACCCCCAGGATTCATGGTTTTGAAACTGTGAAAACCTCCATCCTTTAGCCATCCAAAACCGGTGGAGAGCACCCGGGGGAGGGATAGGAGATACTGATAGACAGATCCCACAGCCATATCCAGAATGCTTGCATCTCCCCCTGAGAGCTACCAGGGTCTTGGCAGAAGAAGCCATCAGCAGGGACATTTCTGGTGATACCTCAGAGGAGGGTGTCTTCTGGTGTGCTTGCGGGAAGGGACTGCCTTCCGATGTGAAGTGTATTAATGCATCTCTCCATGGACAGATCAGGACTTCCAGAGATCGAAGGTCCTGGAAAGGACCCAGTCACCCTCCAGGAGAGGACAAGATGGCCACAACAAAAACCTGGAGGCCACTCCTTTTTGCTGAATGGTGCCTGGACTCCTTTGGGAGTTGCAGACAATGCAGGTAAACTGGAATAGTTGTCCCTCTCATTGTTGTCCCTCTCATTGTTGGCAGCAAGGAGCCTGGCCGCTCTCTTTCCAATTGATTCCTGAGGGACCATTGACCTAGGTCGGTGGTGTGCCAGGCAGCCTGAGGATAGCAGCACTGGGATGACACCAACCCTAGTGATGCCAATGGACAACAGTCTGCATCTGGCTATGAAGCCGAGCCAGAGGCTCCTATGACCCACCAGGCTCCCCACCAGCCACAGAATGGCAATTCAGGGGGTCTCACACAGCAAAACTATGAGTCCTGGTGTGGAGAGGGGCTTTGCCTGTTAGAGAAGGTACCAACCTCTGCAATGACCAAAAAGGACATGGGAAAGGACCTGGGGTCATAGTAGAGCACAAAGTCAAAACATGAGCCAACAGTGTGATGCAACAACTAAAAATACCAGTGCAATTCTGGGCTACATCAAGAGGAGTGCAGGGAATGCTTCCAATGGGTCAGTGAATTCATCCTGGGTTTCAGTCTCAATGTTAAAGGAGATATCCAAGTGCCAGACTCTATCCCCACCTCACTCCAAAGTACCCTTTGATACCTCCTTTAAAGTTGTGACTAAACTCTGGAATGGTTTCACTGGGACAGAGGCCACCAGTCCTGGGTCTAATCTGCACTACAGAATCAATGCAGTTTGACACCACTTTAACTGACATGGCTGCATACCACAGAATCCAGGGATGTGTAGTTTCTTGTGGCACCAGAGCTCTCTGATAGAAGGATAAATATCTTATTTATACTACACATCCCAGAATTCCATAGCATTGAGCCAATGAAGTTAAAGCAGTGTCAAACTGCATTGGTTCTACAGTGCAGATTAGACCTTGGAATAGCCACACTGGTCTGTCTAAATCCACCCTTTCTTACAAGTTACTTTAAGCAACCAAGCCAGTAGAACAGATGTGTCTATTCTTAGAAGCAGAGTTTGGAAAATATTACATTTTGGGGACGATACACCCAGAATCCCCCAGAATTCCAGGAGTTATGGTGTAAAATAAGGAACTTTGCCAAGCTTGACATTTGCTCCTGGATGCGTTTATAATGAGAGCCATTGTGGCGTAGTGGTTTGAGTGTTGACCTGCGACTCTGGAGACCAGGGTTTGATTCCCAGCTCTGCCATGAAACCCACAGGGTGACCTTGGGCAAGTCACACTCTCTCAGCCTCAGAGGATGGGCATGGCAAACCCCTTCCAAAGACAAATGCCAAGAAAACCCCAGTAGGTTTGCCTCAGGGTCACTACAAGTCAGAAATGACTTGAGGGCACGCAGCAACAACAGCAAGCATTTATAGTACACAGATAGTGTGTATTGAGAAACAGCATGGACAAATCCTGGAAAAGTTCCTTTTTTGGACTACAGCTATCGGAATGCAGCTGTCAGCCTCTGTCATTAAAATGGCACAAACTTTCCCAGCTCCCTCCAGAAAGACAGCTCTGCTGGCCAATGTCACCCTTTCTAGGAATTTCAAGGGAAGCTTTCTCTCTCTCTCTCTCTTTAATTAAAAAAAAGAAAGAAAAAGAAAAGAAAAAACAAGACAAACATTGAAAGGAAATTGGATGCATGCAGTTTCTCAGTGGGATGCGTGTGAGCGTCACGGACCTGACCACAGTTACCAGCCTTATTATCCATGTGAAATGCACTTTGGTGCGCATTAAAGTTTTGACAGGCTCCATCTGTTTAAATGAAGCCTCCTTATAATTGAATTATGCAAGTTATCCATGGCTGAGCCATTATGGGAGCCATGAGTAATGGGATTCATTAGCATAGACCTCGGTCCAGCGGGGGCTGTTTGTTTGTCTCCTGTGCTTTTAAAAAAATCTATTCCTGTTTGGTTACAATATATTGCTTACTTTCCAGGATTTGTGGTGTGACAATTTGGTCACCGTGAATATGAATATATGAATGTTCATCTGGGTAAGGAATGTTCCCTTCTGTTCTTAGCATATCCGGCTGGTTTTAATACATGAAGTCTTGAGTCTTGCCATTTCCAAATGGAGCAGACTCATGGCATCACTGGAATGTAGCTTTATAGACCTTTTTGTTGTTGTTAACTGCCCTTGAGTTGATCTCGACTCATGGCAGCCCTACGGATGAGACATCTCCAAGAAGAAGACCCTCTGTCCTCCCCGGTTCTGCTTCATTCCTGCAACCCCTTAATAAATACCCATGGTGGCCTCCTTCATAGAGTCCATCCATCTAGCCTGTGGCCTTCCTCTCTTCCTACTTCCC